TTTTTTTTTTTTTTTTTTTTTTTTTTTGTGAAAGGGAGCGAGCGGGAAGCAGGGTGAAATTTCTGCTGAGGAAAAGCCCTGGCATTTTCCAAATGAATTTATCAAAGCTTCCTACAAGGCTGCAGCTGCTGCTTCTGGGGAAGCCAGCAGCCTCGGGAAGGCTGGAGGGGAAGGCAGGGGCGTTACCTGTGAGGCAGGGTAGTGGGACAGCCACCTCTCGATGTGCACAGCGTACCATCCCGGGCTCAGGCACCGCTTCTGCAGAGCCCTGATCTCCGAGGGCGCCCAGGGGCCCGACGTGATCACTTCGTAAAAGTTGAATTTCAGGGCAGCGGGGTCCTCGTGGGAGCGCTGGTGCTGCCGGGAGATGTTTGGGGGCACGTCACAAGGATGCTGAAGGTTAAGCCTTGAAGCTTCCCAGAGCTGTGCTGGCAGCCCTGGGCTCCCCCTCAGTGCCACCTGTGCCAGGTAAGAGTGTGTGTGTGGGGGGTTTAAGGCAGCAGGATGGGGCCACCGTTCAGCTCCCACCCTGGGAGCTGAGGAGTCAAATCCTGCCAAAGCAGGCACAGATTTTTTTACTGCTTTGCACTGGCAGTTGTAAAGGTGCAAATGAGAGAGTAAAAGGGTGCAAATGAGAGAGTAAAAGGGTGCAGACTGCAGCCCCAGGCCATGCTTTACTGCTTGCAGAACTTTCTAACCACCAGAAGTGGTGTATTTCATGCTTATTGCAAGATGATTAATTTGTGTCTGTTCTGACATTGCTTTTAGTCTTTCCTTTATCTGCAGGCCTACACCGTATTTCACGTGGAGGCCGAAACATTTCTCTCAGAGGAGCTAGCTGTTTGTTAGGGAAAGGTGTGTGCTCGGTGAAAGGCAAGAAGGAGCATCCTAGAGGTCTCACGGGAGAACAAGAGGCTTGCTTTTGTTTCCAAAGGGAGAAGAACCAACCTCTCCAGGCACAGCTCTTTTGAGAAACTTCAGAAGATGCTGCGCACATGTGTGCACAGCCAAGTATTGCTGAGCTCACGGGAGGCAGGGGTGAGGTGCCAGCTCCTCAGCATCCAGAGCTGTGATTTCCTGGCTGGGCCACGCTCCTCTTCCCCATGTACCTCCCTGGGGGAGGAGCAGAGCTTTCCCTCCCTGCGCTGTCGGCAGTAATTGAGATGAAGCTGCTTGTTTACTGCTGGTGGCAGCTCCGTGCTGGGAACTCTCATCATTTGTGACACCGGTGTCACAGGTGCCCACTGCGAGAGCTGGCACTCAGCACCCTCCCGCTTCCACAGGCTGCGGGTGCTTTGCAGGAAATCCCGTTCCTTGCTCAGGGACACAGATCCCCATCGATGCTGGTCGTCATCCCCCACCACCGATCTGCCCGTACCTGGTACCAGGAGTACGCCCGGTCGGACGGGTCGATGAGGATGGTGATGATCTTGGCCTTGGGGATGAGGGAAGCAGCTCTCTTGGGAGCCTCCTCAGAGTGGAAATAGTTGGCACTTTTCTCGAAGAGGAGGTCGGTAGTGACGTTGGAGGGAGTGGGGAAGAAATCCATGTACCTGGGAGGGGAGGAGACTT